CAAGTCATCACAGATTCCTAGGTGCCACCAATATGTCTGCACAGCAACTGGGAAACCTACTGAGAAGGCCATAATAAATACGTCTCTATATTAATAATTGAACTTCTTTCATCTTCTCCTTTAATTATAACTTTAAAAGTTAATCAAGATCATGTTCAGCTACACATATTGTACATTGAGTACACTATGTCACTTATATTCAGTAACTTGTTCCTAGAGAAGAACATTGCAAGTCATATGTGTACAATGGCAGGAATGATTGGTATGTGTGCACTTCCTCTGTTATCTTTACTGCAAATAATGTAAGGGTGAAATCCAGACAAACAGCGAAATGTACAGCTGAAATATATACGTACGTTTCCTGTTCATAGATTTGTAATTGTTTTCATCGATTACTGTGATTCAGACACCACAGACAGACAGAAAAGGCAGGCACTTTACTTTTCTCTACTGCAGTTTAAGGGTAACTCCACTTTCATGTAAACAAGAATTAGCAAATCAAAAAAAATAATATATAGTGTATACATTTGTGACTCAAGTCCTATTGTAATTGAATGTTATTAAAAATTACCTTTCCTTTTCAGTCTGCAGCACTGTAATTTTCTGTAAAATACAATGCAATATGGCTACCTTCAGGTGTTTTGTACACAGGTGTAGAGAAGTGTCCTGCCCCTGAAAATGGCCTTTTCCTGCTTGAGTGATCGGCTTACTGATTTTCCCAGTCAACTGAACTAAGATACAAGCCACATTTCTGGCATCCCCTGCAACAAAATTTTTTGTGTGAGATACTCCCAAAGGGAAATCATGTCTAAAGGGATGCAGACCATGCCAATTTCCTCATTAGAGCCCTGCAGGTGCAGCAGATGATTGATAATTCACTCATGATAATTCACTGTACAGATTCATCCTACGGAGGTCTCACCTGGACCCATTCATCCAGGCCTAACGGTTGTAAAGGTGGTGGGGTTGGTCTGCTCCTGTCACCGCAGAGCACCTTCCGAGTCCTCCCAAACCCCCCCTCCCTATCCTTCTCCTCCTTCGAGGCCCACTGCGTCCGACTATTCTCCCCAACCCCCTGAAGATTGCTGTGATATACCGGCCTCCTGGATCCATATCCTGCTTCCTGGATGACTTTTCCTCCTGGCTACCCGTCTTCCTCTCCTCTGAGCTACCCACCATCATCCTTGGGGATTTCAACATCCCTGTCAACCTCGACAACCCGGACACATCCCGTCTCCTCCACTTAACCTCCTCCTTTGCACTTGCACAGTGCATACAATTCAGCACATGAACACAGACAAACAGCTATTTCTTCTGAATAACAGAAGGTAGGAATCTGCAACAACATTCGTTAGAATCCTTGCAATGTACATAGATAACCCTAAAAAAAAAAAGTTGGGACTCAGCGAGAGCTTACAAACGGCAGCTACTGCACTAAAAAAGGAATCACAAACCTTCTCAATAAACAATAAAATAGAAAGTGCAGCGCTAAAAGCAATAAAATTCAATATGTAAACAGTAAACGCACAACTGCAATATGGTAAAAGCAGTATAAAACCAGGACGTAAATGTCACTACCAATAAATAAAATAAAAGCTGACAACCCAAGGTGAAGTGAAAATGGCCTGGTCAGGGGGGGGGGGGGGGGGTAAATCCTGGAGGGCAAGTTGTTAATAGAAACCAAGCTCCCAGCAGCTTCCCCTGCATCTGCAAACATTTTACAAGCCTGGTGTGACACCCCAAGGAGTAATCAAAGCTGTCTCTTGCTAAAGGTACAAGGTAAGAAAAAAAAAAAAAAAGAGTGCTGGGACATGATTGAGAAGGAGAGGGGTTTGAGAGTAAGTTGGGCCATGTTTTATACATATTTTTTAAAGAGTAACTCCACTTTTGTAAGAAAAAAACATTCCCTTCAGGGTTATCTATGTTGACAACCCAAGGTGAAGTGATGACTTAAGCAATTAAATGGTTACACCAATAAACATGATCTGTATAGGAAAAAACGTCCAAATAAAGTGCAAAAGTTGTTATGTTTCCCAAATAAGGGACTATATACCAAAAAATGGTACTAATATCAGTAGTTCAAAATGGATGTATCCAGATGAGTAACGTTACAATCCCAGTGTGAGAAGAAAATACTCCAGTGACATGCGATAAATAGTAAGATTGCACACTCACCAGAAGCGCAATCTTAATGCGCATATGTCATATAAATCAGCCAGAGGTCTCATCTTTTATAGGGGTAGAATACAGACTGGTGTGGAATGGAGGGAACGAGAAAATAATATGATCCTGCTGCTGATGTTCCCTGGACTGAAGAAGTGCATTTAAACCCCCCTATGACCCCAAGTGATCATCCCAGACCAGAGGAGGGAGATTTCTGACCAGACCCCATCAAAGCTAACCCTTAAAGGGGACCTCTGATTGATGTCTAAAAGCCAGATCCACAGAGGAGGTGAAATTTATGTCCTTTTTTCCCACAAATAAAGCTATGCAGAGCAATACAAAGCAGCATGCTGGTGCTGGCAGGGGAGAGACCTGTATTATTTACATACAGACCTCTCGTGTTCCTTGACCGAGACCCGGTGACCGACAGCCGTACCTGCCAATGGTGGCACGGGTAGGGGGCGGCGCGCGCCCCCCTATCCAGAAATACAAAATTATGTATACATATGTGATTTTGCGCAACCCTGCCGCCCTGTAGCAGTACTTCTGCTATAGGGCGGTTGGGAAGTGGTTAATGTAGGCATACCTTCAGGACCACATTTCCCCGAGCACTTTTCATACAAACAATGGGGGGAATTTACTAAAACTGGAAAGTGCAAAATCAGCTGCAGCTCTGCAGAGAATCCAATCAGCTTCCAGGTTTTGTTGCCAAAGCCTAATAGAATCTGGTGTAGCTGTGCATAGTAGCCAATCAGCTTCTAACTTCAGCTTGTTCAGAGTGCTCCTGTTTTAGTGAATTTTCCCCAGTGTGTAGGCAGGCTTTTTCATAGTCAAGGCAGCAGTTTTACTGGGAAATAAATCAATGTATTCATGTGGAGAGGGATCGGTTGGGGGGCTTAGCTTGGGTAGGTGGAGTTCTGTAGTCCAGCAAACGGTTGAAAATGACGCTTCTAATTTTAGACCAGCAAAGGCTTTGGGGGTTATTAACTAAGATCGGAGAATGCAAAATCTGGTGCAACTCTGCAAAATAAAAAACAATCAGCTTCCAGGTTTTATTGCCAAAGCCTAATTGAACAAGCTGACGTTTGAAGCTGATTGGCTACCATGCATAGCTGCACCAGATTCTGAGTGCACCAGTTTTAGTAAATTTCCCCACACTGTGTTGTCAGCCCAAACAGGAAGTCAGGAGCACACTGGGTTTCTGACAGATTATCAGTTATTTTTTCTGTACTTGCAGCTTTTTTAAGTGGATAAACATGCAGTATATGGGCATGTATTGCACAGGTGTACTGCATATGTCTCTGTTATATTGCCCTGACAGATTCTTTAACAACATGAATGACGGTCCCGCACACATTTGTAAACAGGGACCGCACCACACATGTGAGATATGACCATGAATATGAAAGCAAGATCAATAATTCTAGTCCCGGACCTCCTGTGTAACTTTAAATTGAAAGCCTTTTAACCCCTTGGCGCCAGCGCCTCCCGGCCCTTTAAGAGTTTCAGAAGCCGGGAGGTGGGGTGGGGTTTTAGGGTCATGAGCTGATTCGCTGTCATGGCGGTCACATGATCGGAAAAGGTCCCAATCGAAAGGGGAGATTAGAACCTTTCTGGGAGTCAGGGACATATGTGCTTGGAGCACGCAAGGCATGCGCTCTCAGCACATATGTATTTTCTAACTGCACGCAAATATGCAGCCGCTCGCTGTCAAGGCCCAGACGCCGAGAGGTTGCATATTTGCGTGCGATCGGCGTCAAGGGGTTAAAGTAGTGCCTATGGATAATTTAATGTACTGTAGTTTGTCGCTTTTCCACAGGTGTGCAAAATTTAAAGCGTGACATTTTTATCCATTTATTTGGCATAACATCATCTTTTATATTTTTCTATTCTGAAGGGTTCCCTCTAAGAAATGAAAGTTGGAAGCAGTATGTGACTTGCTTTAAGGTCCTTGGTAGGTATTTTGGTGCAGGCAGTACTGTGCACTGTAACAGGATCACATGTAAACAGCCGTGCACAAAATAACTAAGCTTTTCACACCCAAAGCAGGTCCACAAAGTTAACTCTCACATTCAGTTTTATTCAATTTCCTTTTATTTATTGTATGGAAAAAAAAAAACTACAGCTGACTGACAGGCAGTCAAATAACAGTTTAAAAAAAAAACTGGACTCACACTTTAAACCATTTTATCTTTTTCAAAAATTCCCCGGGGTCCTCAGCAGTGCAGTACAGTCAACACTAGCACAATACAAAGAAGATCTGGAAATGAACAGTGGGTTTCACAAATTTGGAGGGGTCCAAGTGGTACAGAACGAAATGTTTTATCATAGTGATATCTCCTTTCTATCTTACAGTGTTGAGTTAAAATAGCAGCTGATTCATTGAAATAAAACCCAACCGAGATAAAAGGCTGCGGTGCCCTCTAGTGTGCAGGAATGTAATACAGTCCAAGCTGAAAATTAAAAAAAAAAAAAAAAAATAAATGCTGGTACCCTGCCACAAATAAAACAAGCTGAGGCCGCTTGGGGAATCAGGCTATTGTTTTCAGTTTTAAAAAAAACACACAAACATTTGCTGTTTAAGCCATCCAGTTTTTGAAAATAAAATGCTGAAGCTCACCGAGTCTTCTCTGTACACCAAAACAAGCATGAAGAAATGAAGAATGTACAATTGAAGACTTTGTCCTTCCTGCAGGAATTAATTTTTCACAGGCACCGATATCCACTCATTTCCAAGACGCTGTTAACAAAATGTTTAAAGCAGAAGGTACGAGGCAGAGAAATCCATTGGTTGACAAGTCTGTCTCTTTCAGGCATCTTATGAATTTTTCACAGCTTCACCGAATCCTCTTCTGCTGCCGAGCTCTATAGATGTCATGAACAGGAGGCACTACAGCACCCTTCTCTTCATCATCATCAGAATCTTCATTGGGTCTTTTGAGGGATTTATTAATCAAGGTGTTCACTTCAACTGGTCCGTTGGTCTCCTGCAGCAGTTCCGCCTGACCCCCAGTAATGACTCTAACAGCTTCTTCAACAGCTAGAAAGAAAGATTTCCTTTAAATATATCAGAATTACAGATTACTACATAGTGTATAGTCCATCGGGTGGTCTTGCTGGAACCGGAGCCACTAGGGGAGTACCAGAATGGATATCAAAGATAGGGAAGACAAACAGACACTGAGGCAGCTCTTCAGAGTTGGAAGCAAAGCTCTAGTGTAAAAAGGCATGGAAAGAAGGCGCCTCTAAGGGCTCGTTCACACTTGACTGTTTTTCCAACTCTTGCCAAACGCCCCTATAGTGTTTGACAAGCATTGGTCTGGCATTTGCGGAGCGTTTTAAACGATGTGCTAACGCCGCATGTGGTTTAGCAGCAATTGCTAAGCATTAAAAACGCCCCACAAACACCTATAATGAAGTATGAATGGTGTTACCGCTCCGCAAACGCCTCGCAACCGCACCGCAAACGCCGGCTGGGCGTTTGCAGAGCGGCACCATAGACTTGAATAGGAGGTTTCAACTCCTCCTGACTCGACCAGAGGCGTCCATTTTGCCGTGATGCGACGCAACACGACGCTAACGCTCCCGTTTGAACAGCACTATGTGCTGCAATGTGCAGAATTTTCCCAGGCATTTGGGAAACGGTAAAAACGCTTCCTACACGCCTGTCTGCCGCTTGCTAACAAGGCTAGTGTGAATGTAGCCTAAGTGTAGTATTGGCAGTTTATTAACATACAAAGATAAAATTCCAGGGGTCACGTTGCCGCTGGACGGCCCTGAACCCTTACCACCAGGAACATTGGTCGAATTTACTATGATGAGCCTGTCATGTTTTGACTTCTGTAAGTGGAATTGTATCTTTGTATGTTAATAAAATACCACACTTAGAGGCACCTTCTTTCCATGTCAGATTACTACATAAACCATCAAAGGGAAATATAGGGGCTGCCATTTCATGCTTCCTTCAGAAAATGTTAGATGCCTGGCTGTCTCTGGCATTGGTACTACTAAGACACTGTCCAGGAATAAAAATGCAGAGAAGCAGACTAATGTCAGAACTCCTCTACATGTTTGTGGTCAGTGACTCAGAAAGTAATGATCTGGATCAAAATGACAGCCAGGGGAGAAATCAGAAACTGCAGGCTCCATACTTCCTTCCATACAAGAATGATACGGAATAGTTTTTTTGCTGCACAATTCTCATTCAAATTCCATTCTATGCAGCTTGCTATTGGGGGTGCCGCTCAAGGTGGAGGAGCCAGGAGCACTGAGCAAAACCACTTCTCTGAGCAAAACCACTTCACACAGCAGGTGAGTATGACATGGTTGTTATTAAAAAAAAAAAAAAAAAAAAAACCTTTAATATCACTTTAATGTCCAACATCCTAGAGGTGGGGATTGACCCCCCAGAAGCCATCTGGGTCCCCCCAGTGCTTCAAAAAAAAAAAAAAAAGGTTTGTGCCCAAACATACTTCCACTGTTTTGTAGTTTCCTTACAATTGTGTCTGCCTTACTGGCATCACATGTTCATTAAAGGATCATTAATGTACTGTATATGGGCACTGCAACTCATGATGCCTTGCTCAGCCTTAGACCAAGGTATAACTGACATTCATAAGCAACCAGAAAAATACCCAATAATGAGTTACTAGTTACAAGATAAATGAAAAATAACATCTATATGAAGAGATAACAACAGCACACAATTATTAAACTCAACGAAACATGAAATAGCAACAATCATCTCTAAATATACTGTACGTATAATGGCTATACAATCATATACCAACCAACCTGTTTTTATTCTTTGCGGTTTATTGAATCCAGATTGGAAGGGTGGCCCCTGACATCACCAACGGTCTGCACATAATGTTCAGTGAATGTAATGCTTCTGAAAGCAGTCAGAGACTGCAATATCACACAGAGACTGCAGACATGCTTTCGAAGTTGTAGAATAGGGACATGCTTCATGGAGCAGTCAACAGTCATGGACTTCAGAATCATTACATTAGACTGATGCATATCACATTTGTGCGTCCTAAAACCTTCTTTAAAAGTTACATATATTTTTTATGTGCCACTGACAGCCCCTACGTGGACGTGTCTTTTGCTCTGGTTTTTCTTTGTTAAATTGTTTAAAAAAGTTAATAAAAATCATTAAAATTTAAAAAAAAAAAAAAAAAAAGTTACTTTTAAAATTGATCTTGCTGTGAGAAATATCAAATGTTTTATAAGTTCAGAGTTAAAAAAATGCATTTTCATCTGCATTGTATTTGCTTGCCTGGGAATTCAGCTTTAATGGAAGAGTTATACATCTTAAATATATTTGCTTCAGATCTTATCTGTGATATTTTTTTTGTTTACTCCAAAACTGAATATACTTTAGCAATCCAGCTAGAGATGCCCCGATCTCCCAGACAGATCAGATGTGGATGTTTACAATTCAGCTGTCAGTGAAGTCCTATTCCAGCTTAAACCAGTGTGATTAAATAAATGATTTCATTAGTTTCAGCAGGCTGAGCCAATACTTACTATCTGGAAGCTTACACCTGCGTAAGATCTCCATAACTTCATCCACCTGCACAAAAGGACCCTATTTTGATAAAAATAAAAGTAGTTATTTTTTGTGCCTAAATTTCCATACTTATAATAATGACACTTAGGGCAAAAATAGAGGAGCCGTCACTGCTAACGTCTCTTTAAAAAAGCAACTCCAGAGCTGGCACCCTGATCTTGGCTTTGGTAGTGAGCCAGTCCCCTTGATCAAGGATACAGCCACTGAATTTTTAAAAACTGAACTTCCTTGTTGCATGCAGATTATTAATTCACAAAGCAGTGGAGCCTGGATCAGGAGAACAGGTCTCAACCACTCCCCCCAACCCCCCTCCCTCACTCTGGGGTCTCCCCAAAGTACCAATGATACCAGCACTGCTCTCTGCACCGATACACTGTAAAAAGAATGATGTGTTGATGGCGCTCAGCGAATGGGGCTATGAAGGAAGACTGACGACATCTTGTGGTGAAGAAGAGGTTCTGTTGGAACTTTTTCAAATAATAAAACTCTAGTCCAGCCTTGGGATTTAAAGTACGCTTGTCATAACAAAAGTATGAGTCTGCTGCTGCTGCCTTCCTTTTGGAGATGCTAGGTTTCTGGTTCTGTCTGGCTTCAATAATTTTGAGCCTCAGGCCAAAGACCTGTAAAGCTGTAAAGGGGTCACTACATGTTCCAGGTTGGTGACTCAGAAAACTGAATTGATAGTATCAGCCTAACATCCAGGGAATGAGGAGAACAAATAAGAGACGTTCATTGTTTTAGATACAGTATAGACAGAAACTGCAACAACAAAGTACAGTTAAAGGAGAGTCGTTCATACTTCTAGAAACATAAACACTCTCCTAATGTTGCTATGTGCTGGCCAAATTGAATGATATTCAGTGAATGCAGGATTTAATTTTCTCAGACAAGGGTATACATCATAAATTCTGGAAGAGGTGCCATTACTGGAATGAATTTGCCTCTACACCTGAATATAAATATCACTTGAGACAGAGACTTTGGTTTCAGCTTATCTGTCTCTAATCCCCTGCCCCATAGCCCATCCCGTACCCCCTTCTACTGTTTAGATTTATAATTAACTTATGTCTTAACCTCTTCAAAATCCAATTTTTAAAAAATAAAAGCTCATATGTTAAAGGTGTAACAGTCTACATGTATTAAGAATATCTCTATATGACATTAGACTCACTGTAAACATGTTACAGCCGAGTGACTATCAAAGGATGTATAATAACAGATAAAAGAATAAGTTCACCTTTTGTAACATGTTACATGTCTAACTCGTGAATAGGGTGTAACATGTTACTGTGCTCCAGTCCCCGCACTCCACCTAATCCCCCTCTGTGACAGGGTGGTGATCCTCTCCCCCATCCTCTATCACAATAAAAAAAAAATAGCACGGCTGTGCTGGGCTCCACCTGCACAGCCTCATTTATTCACACAGCTCTGTGAATGAATGAACTACAAGTCTCATCTGCCACTGTGACAGACGGCTTGTAGCTCCCAATGAACTGCAAGGGTGCTGATGAGCGATTTTGTAGATCATTAATTCTTCCTCCAATTCAGTAACAGCTCATATGGAAGGTACAGGCAGACTGTTGTAGTGAGAGTCTGTAGGAGCCTGACATTGCACCCACAAATCCACTGGTCACAGGTGCAATTCTTTGCAGGCTGAAGTGTGAAAAAAAAAATTAAATGCACATTTTGTTTAACCTGCGCAATCATGGTTTTTTTTTTTACAAAATGTGAACTTTTGTTATAATGTATTGGTTTTTATACGGTCAATGACTATCTCTAAACCAGTGTATGTGCCTTGTTTATCAATAACATACCCAAAGAGGTGCTAGGAAAGAAAATGTACCAATTATTTCTATTTTAACAGCCTAATTTTTCGGTACTTTTTTGCACATTTTCTTTTTGATGCAAATTATTATATGTTTATATCATATGTCCACTTTCTTTATTGGATGTTTATGCATATCGCTTTTATTTGTTAACATTCAACTGAGACGGACGTTGTCTGACAAACTGATGTGTTTGTTGGTTAACATATGATGTTCTAGATTTTGTGGGATATATCTAGACATAATTTTTCATCATTATGACTATGTTTTTTTACTCATTCTTGTAGCCCTGACAAAGGGGAAGTGGTGTTGCCCCACAAATGCATTGGCTGTTTTTTTTTACTTTTTTTTTTTTTTTACCAACAATTAAAATGATCTTGGACTCTTTCCCCTGGGTTTTGATCTGGTGCTCCTTTTTGTATTTCTATGGTTTATATAGAATTTCTAACAAAGGGAAAAACTATGCTTTGCATTTAAAAGCTGTGTGGGTTCAGGCCTACAAGGGGCATTCACTACAGCTTCATAAGGCTAGGTTCACATCTGTGCGGGTGAAGCCACTGTGGATCCGCACGAAAATCCGTGCAGCTGCACCACCCACACAGAGAAATGCGGCCCCGCGGGCGGGTGCCATTAGTTCTAATGGCACGCCGCCTGCACTGGAAAATGCAATCGTACTGGTTCCGAGGTTCCCGTGTGGGCTGCGTTTTCCAAAGAAGTGCAGGGACTTCTTCCCTGCGTGTCAACAGGCACGGGAGTCCATTCAAATGAATGGGCTCTCATGTTGCCCGCGCAAAAGGCGGCCCACACAGCCGCATATATGTGAACCAGGGGTAAGTCTGTATAAAGGATTTCACAGTTTCAGTTTCTCAACAGTATTATAAAATGATTTTGATCCAAACCAAATGGACTGGTTCAGAGATGCTAAAAAGGCAACAAATGGCATTTTGTGACTGACAGTGCCTTGTACTGGGTTGCCATTACTAGTCAGAATGATACAGAAAAATGTAGGTGTGCATTAAGCTGTTTAGGGTGTAAGACAGGCAGGTGTCAGTGTACTCTGAAATGCAGAATATGTGTATGGATATCAAGCACAGAACAGGCCTGTGTAAATATTCCCCAACTGTCAAAATTGTTTTCATCATCTTTTGGCACAATATTAATAGATGGCATTGTGTTTGCAAAGTAAACAGGATAAAGTTCAAACATACAATAGGTATAACTACATTCTCATAGTGCTGTATACAGTGATGTCAGTGTCTGACAAGGGGTTACGGGCATTTTCCCCAATATAGCAAAGGCTAGGGCCAAAGATGTAAGGACTTGCAATCGCCATTTTACAAAGTAATGACCTATTAGATTGTCACTTAGAGAGAGATATGGAAAAGTGTATATGCTGCTGAAAATCTATACAGATCACCCCTCAATTCCACAGGTTTTAATAATTGGCTAAAATACAGGTGTTAACAATAAGCCAGTATCCTCAGGGGTTGTGGCAAAACAGTTCTCAGAAACTTTCCCCCTTTCCTGTTAGAATCTATTAGATAAGATCACAGCAGAGAACACTGCAGTATTATTTAGAAAGGAAAACAAAAGGAGAAAGGCATAGAAATGAGAGCAATATACCACTTATTTACCTGGTAACACAGGGGTGGAGGAAGCAGCTTCATTAATAGCACAGCAGCAGGAGGCACTGGGAACACACCTCCAGGTACTGGGTGAAGTCCAGGAGCTACAGAACACAAAACAAACAGCTGTCATGCAACTGGGCGCCATTACACCTTCATTAGATGCTAGATGCTTCTACACATACATACAGTTGTGTTCAAAATAACAGCAGTGTGTTGAAAAAAGTGAATAAAGCTCAAAATCCTTCTAATAGCTTTTATTTCCATACACACAAATGCATTGGGAACACTACACATTCTATTCCAAATCAAAACATGAAGAAAAATATATCAAATTTGTGTTGTTCCTCTAAAAAAAGTGAAGAAAAATGAATATTAGACTGTTTAAAAAAATAGCAGTGTTTGTATTCTTCTTTACAAACTCAAACATTCACTATATAAACTGAAAAATGTTTGAAGATTTTGCTTTCCTTTGAATCACTTAATGAATATTTGGTTGTAGTCGGACTGTTTCTGAGCACTGCTGTACATCTGTGTTGCATGGAGTCACCCAACTTCTGGCACCTGTGATCAGGTATTCCAGCCCAGGATGATTGGACTACATTCCACAGTTCTTCTCTATTTCTTGGTTTTGCCTCAGAAACGGCATTTTTGATGTCAGCCCACAAGTTTTCTATTGGATTAAGATCCGGGGATTGGTCTGGCCACTCCATAACGTCAATCTTGTTGGTCTGGAACCAAGATGTTGCACGTTTACTGGTGTGTTTGGGGTCGTTGTCTTGTTGGAACACCCATTTCAAGGGCATTTCCTCTTCAGCATAAGGCAGCATGACCTCTTCAAGTATTCTGATGTATTCAAACTGATCCATGATCCCTGGTATGCAATAAATAGGCCCAACACCGTAGTATGAGAAACATCTCCATATCATGATGCTTGCACCACCATGCTTCACTGTCTTCACAGTGTACTGTGGCTTGAATTCAGTGTTTGGGGGTCGTCTGACAAACTGTCTCCGGCCACTAGACCCAAAAAGAACAATCTTACTTTCATCAGTCCACAAAATGTTGCGCCATTTCTCTTTAGGCCAGTCAATGTGCTCTTTGGCAAATTGTAACCTCTTCAGCACACGTCTTTTTTTCAACAGTGGGACTTTGCGGGGGCTTCTTGCAGATAGCTTGGCTTCACATAGGCGTCTTCTAATTGTAACAGTACTCACAGGTAACTTTACACCTTCTTTCATCTTCCTGGAGCTGATTGTTGGCTGAGTCCTTGCAATTTTGGCTATTCTTCTATCCATTTGAATGGTAGTTTTTTTTTCGCTTTCTTCCATGTGTTTCAGGTTTTGATTGCCATTATAAGGCATTTGCGATCATTTTAGCTGAGCAGCCTATCATTTTCTGCACTTCTTTATATGTTTTCCCCTCTCCAATCAACTTTTTAATCAAGGTACGCTGTTCTTCTGAACAATGTCTGGAACGACCCATTTTCCTCCAAATTTCAGAGAGAAATGCACTGTAACCAGCATGTACAACATTTGCTGTCTTCCTTCCTTAAATAAGGGCAATAATTGCCACCTGTTTTTCAAAGAATGAATGATCTCACTAACAGAACTCCACACTGCTATTATTTTGAACATACCCCTTTCAATTAGTGATTCAATTACACAGAATCAGCAGCATGCATATCATGACTGTTGGGTCTGTTGGATTTCTATTACTCTACTATACCTGCAAGTAAATTATTTGCCATGTAGAAATATCATTTCTACCAAAAACAGTGATTGATCCGGTTAGTGATGTCTGACTGCTATTATTTTGAACACAACTGTATATCAGGATCACTACAACATCATACAAATTGTCTAAACTAAGAGTTGCAAAACTTTCTAAACAAGGGGCCAGTTTATTGTCCTTCAAACTTTAGGGGGTTCAGACTGTGACCAGCAAAAGTGGACATTTTCCTGATATCAGTAGGAGTAAACATTGCCACATTTGGTATTAGGGGGAGCAATAGTGCCCATTGTTTGTGTCAGTGGGAGAGATGGTGCCCCGTTGTTGATGTCAGCTGACAGAATACACTGTGTGCACAATTATTAGGCAAGGATTTGACGATTAATTTCATAACTACAGTGCTCTCGTCAATCCAAAATGTTAATAAACCTCAAACCTGAATATTTAAGAAAGTAAAAGTGAAGTTTTGGCTTTCTTAGGAGAATATCTATGTGTGCACAATTATTGGGCAACTATTAGTGTGCAGAATTATTATGCAACTAAATGAATATTTTTCCCATCTCATTTGTTTATTTTCATCTGTTAAACTGAGAATAATAAACAAACTCAAAATTTACAAATAAACATTTAAAAAAAAAATAAATAATTGACCAATAATGCCACCCTTGTTTTCAATAACAGTCATAAGCCATCTAATTATGGAGTATGTCAGTTTCTTGATCTGTCAACGAAAAAACTGTCTGTGCAGCAGCAATCACAGCCTCGCAGACACTGTTCAGAGAGGTGTACCGTTTTGTTTCACCGTAAATCTCCCGTTTAAGAAGGGCCCGCAAGTTCTCAATAGAGTTTAGGTCAGGTGAGGAAGGGGGCCATGTCATTATTCTTTTATCATTAAAGCCCTTACAGGCTAGCCATGCAGTGGAGTACTTTGATGCATGTGATGAGACTTGTCCTGCATAAATATCATGGTCTTCTTGAAAGATGGAGACATTTTCCTGTACCACTGCTTGAAGAAAGTGTCTTCTAAAAACTGGCAGTGGGTTTGGGAGTTTATTTTGAGTCCATCTTCAACCTGAAAAGGTCCAGCTAGCTCATCTTTAATAATACTAGCCCATACCAGTACCCCACCTCCACCTTGCTGAGTCAAAGAGGAGCTATCTGCCCGTTGCTGATCCAGACATGGGCCCATCCATCTGGTCCATCTCTCTCATCTCATTAGTTCATAAAACGTTTGAAAATTTTGTCTTCAGATATTTCTTGGGCCAGTCTTGACATTTCAACTTATGCATCTTGTTCAGTGGTGGTCGGGTTTTAGCCTTCCTTAAAGCGATTCTAAAGGTTAATTTTTTTTTTTTGTAAAATAACAATCGTCTATACTTACCTACTGTGTGTAGTGGTTTTGCACACAGCAGCTTGGATCCTTCTCTTCCCGGATCCCCAGCAGACTCTCCTGGCTCCTCCTGTCTGTCGAGTGTCCCCGCAACAAGCAGCCTGCTATGGGGGCACCCGCTGCTCTGTGTGTCCATTCACATATGAGGCTGTGGCGTGGCCCCGCCCCCTTTCCTCATTGGCTGACTGGCTGTGATTGACAGCAGCGGGATCCAATGGCTCCCGCTTGCTGTCTCAGCCAATGATGAGACAGAGACCCAGGACAGCCGAGGTTGTCATTCACATCGCTGGATCGTGATGGGGCTCAGGTAAGTGTTGTGGGGGCTGGGGGAGTTGCTGCAAACACGAGATTTTATCTTCATGCATAGAATGCAAGAACATAAAAACCTTCAGCCTTTACAACCGCTTTAACTTGGCCATGTCTCTAAGCACTGACCACCTTGTACTTCTGGGCACTCCAGGTAGGTTGCAAATCTGGAATATGATAGCAATGGATGATAATGGGTTCCTGGTAGCTTCGCATTTGATTCTTCTCAAATCTGTGGCAGTTAATTTAAGTCTTTTTTCTCAAACACGTTTCTTGCGACCCTGTTGACTATTTGCAACAAAATGTCTAATGGTCCTGTGATCATGCCACAATAACCTTAGCAATTTCAAAAGTGCTGCATCCCTCTGAAAGACGGTTTACAATTTTTGACTTTTCAGACTCAGTTAAAAATCTTTTTTTGCCCATTTTGCCTGAGGAAAAAGAAGCTGCCTAATACTTATGCACATCTTGATATAGGGTGTTGAATTCCTCAGGCCACACCCTCCCTCATTACACAAATACACATTACCTGATATGCTTAAATCCAATTAGCATTCCAGTTTATACAGCTTGGAGTTGGGCAATATGCATAAAAATGATGATTTGGTCAAAATACTCACTTGACTAATAATTGTGCACACAGTTTAGTGTCTCACTCATTTCAGAGGGAGGAATAGTGCCCCAAGGGCCAGATAAAGGCAAGGAAAAGGCCGCAGTTTGGAGACCATTTGTCTAAACCAGGGGTGGCCAAACTGTGGCCCTCCAGCTGTTGTAGAACTACAAGTCCTGTGAGGCATTGCAAAACTGACAGTTACAAGCATGACTCCCAAAGGCAGAGGCATGATGGGACTTGTAGTTCAACAACAGCTGGAGGGCCACAGTTGCCCACCCCTGGTCTAAACCATAGCATGTTGTGCATCCACATTACAGTTCTCACCTACTGAGCTTTACAGCAACTATATAGCTGACTAAAAAGACAACCCTCATCTCTTAAAGAAACCAAAGGAGCTTCTAAAGATTTTATGTAATTATACACATAACCATTCAAATTTTGGTGATGACTTACGAGCTAGGTGTCTTGGTTGAAATGGGATCATCTGGCTGGTGTCTGGTTTTGGGTATTCTGGTTTTCTGTCAATGTCATCCTTTAGAGATGGGACTATGGAAGGAGCCACCACTGGGTCTGGGATCAAAGATGCCAATTTGGCACGGGAGACATCCTAGAAAAATTGGTGCATGTTGTCATTACATAAAAAAAAAATATAGCTCAAAGATAGATGGGTATGGTGCAATAAAAGAAGGGGAAGGGAAAAAAACTGAGAAAAAAATCAAATTACAGAGAGAGAGAGAGAGAGAGAGATAGGAAGGAAAGAGAAAAAATTATTGAGCACCTGGAAAAGGAATAAAAACAAGCTTGTAACTTGAAGGAAAGAGAGGGGGTGATAACAAAAAATAAAGTCGAGAAAAGAGCACAGAAAACATGAAAAAGCGAGAAATAACGAGTTAGGTGCAAAAAAAAAAACAGAAAGATAAAGCAGAAAGTGTAAAAGATTTGGGGATGGAATAAAAAATCATGTATAAAGCATTTATGTACCTTATATCCTAAAGCTTTGAGTTCACTTGCAGAACACGGGTACAGATCCATGAACTTGTACCTGTCTACCAGTAGCGCCGTCTCCTTTCCCTCATACTCTTCTTTGAACGCAGTATATCTCCTCTTCTCTACTTTCAGAATACTCGCTAGATCTCCAATATTACTCTCAAATGCCAAGAATCGAGCCCAGATCTCACTAAGGAAAGCACAAAAAAATTAATTCTTGACATTGCCAATACAAAATTGTCACTACATACCGTTATAACTGCTTGATGATTGGCAAGGATTTTTGGCCATACTTCACTTGTGGGTCACAGGAGTGCACTTACTTTTGCTCTCCTGTGACCCAGAATCAGCCAACAGTGGGCTAAAGTCCACTGTCATCACAGAGCTACCCCATGCTCTGGAAGGATTCCTACCATTTTGTTGGCATCCACCGAGATGCCTAACTGACAGCTGGCTCCAGCTCTCAGTGTGTGGCTGAGCGCTGAAGCCAGCTGCACCCCACCCCCATCCAGAGCTGCAGTGAACACTGGAGGAGAAAAGCAGTGACTAACAGTCACCTCTTTCTGCTCAGAGCTACAGAGAACTGAGTGATCAGTGGCAGAGGGCAGCTGCAGTATCACACCAATGCTGCAGCATATAGGTGAGTATGAATGTTTGTTTTTTTTTCTCTTCCCCAAATATGTCAATTTGTTTTTCCTATAGGTTCAGGTGAATGGTCTGAATTCAAAGAGACATAAGTGATCACGGGTATGCACACTCAAAATTGAATGGTTCAACTTTGGTATTTTCTTTAGAAATACTGGACCCTCTTACAACTGTAAAGTGAGAAAAGACTAATAGACCTTTAAAACTGTAGGCATATGGAATAGTTCTAATCCTAAGTATCTGTGCTATATATATTTTATATACTGCAAACTCTGTGGTTGATTTACTAAAGGAAAACAGACTGTGCACTTTGGAAATGCAGTTGCACCAATTTTCCCAGAGCTTAGTGAATGTGGTGAAGCTTCATTTTGTAAAGAATACCCAATCGGGTGCAAGGAAAATAGAAAAAAAATAGCTTTTTTCTTGCACATGATTGGATGATCAGTACAGCTTCACCTTATTCACTAAGTTCTAGGGAAAAATGAGTGAAACCTCACTTGCAAAGTACACAGTCTTTTTGTCTTTAGTAAATCAACCCCGTGACTTCATTGCTGTTGTAAACATTCATTCTGACAGCCCAGGAAGGACACCACATTTTTAGGTTTCCTCTATTGTTTAATACATGTTGTATTTATCAATATAAAGATAAAAAAGAACTGTTTATGAAAGAAAGAAATCACAAGTTGATGCTAGTAAAAATGGAGACTAATATGTACCAAATGGCATGTTGTAAATGTGGCCACATAACATAATACAACCTATGCAACATCCGTCTGTGATAGGATGATAGCAAAAAGATGGAGGGAATAATGTTTCTTCCATTATAACCAGATTAAAAAAAAGGATGTGCCCCAATACTAACACAATCTCTTACTGAACAAGGGCCACTAACTATTCTGATCTGCACACCTTCATCTCCTGTAATACTGTAGAAAGGACAATAAACCACGTCAGGACACCTCACTTCACATGAACTCCCAAGACAGTCACTCGTATAGCCAACATAATGTAGGAACCCCCTTAAGTATTGAAGAAGTGAGCCTCCCATTCTACAAGGATCATCCACAAACCGCCTGAGGGTAGCGGGGTTTTGTGGTTGTTCATACAAAGAAGTGTCCTGGCCTAGTTTGTAGTGCTGTCAGATCCTGTGCTCTTGGGAGTTTTCGGTTAGTGCAAAACTATGCATTTCAGGTTTTTAAAATTAATGATTAATCTGCACTATTCAGTGCGCCTATGGTTTGCTTTGTTGTTTACAGTACCCCTGGATACTTTTAAAAGGCTGCAAATGTTTGTGCATTGCTGAATTACTTTAGGGACAACCTGGCTAAATGTGTGGTAAATGTGTTTGGTTTTTTTTTTGGATTGTATTGTATTGTAAAAAAAAGTGTTAATAGCAAGAGCAACCAATACATATACGCAGAAAACATCTGAATAGGGATAACGTCAGAATACACAGAGAAGCACATGCAAGAAAAAACAGATACAACAGGCATGAAAGTGCTGTCATGAACAACAGGCATGTCAAACTAAAATTAAATATGCACAGCATAACCAAAAAACAGGCTATATCATGATCACTATCGGATAAAAAGACAAGTGCAAAAAACAAGGAAGCTGAGGAGAGAGACAGGAGAGCCCTGTCTTTCAGTGCCACAAATTAGAAAGGATAGTGGAATTATATTATTACATCGCAGTAGGTTGCAGTAAACCATTCCAGTGGTACACAACCAAGGAGAACCAGACTTTGGTCCCTTAGAGTGGGCTAGGTCTGGAGTGCTTGGTAAGATAAGAGATATACTAAAAATGTCACAAAAATTCTTGCATTGGTGGATTGGAGGATTTTGCAGATGGAGCAGGCAATTAGAGAGCTAATGATATATTGCTTTAATGTAACTACAACAATAAATATATGTTATCATTGACCTCTGCAACACAAAACGTTTGTAAAAAGTATATGTGAACCCTCACCTTGTAAAACAACCTATTTAAAATAAAAAAGAAAGGCAACACAACCGTGGCTTTTGTGTGTCTGTATATATACAGTATCTCCCAGAAGTGAGGACAGTGCTTCTTAAAACCAGTAAACCCAAAACACATCCCTCACATTTTTGTCAAAATATTTGATTCTCTCTTTTTTCATGTGTTTACATGTTATGTGACAACCATTGGCAACATCTGAAGAATTGACTGTGTTCTTCTTTGTGACTTAGACACGTGAGCCCATGTGACGTAGTGAGTGTAACAGCTTGTATAACATGTAAATTTGCTGTCCCCCTCAAAATAACTCAACACACAGCCATTAATGTCTAAACTGCTGGCAATACAAGTGAGTACACCCCTAAGTGAAAATGTCCAAATTGGGCCCAAAGTGTCAATATTTTGTGTGGCCACCATTATTTTCCAGCACTGCCTTAACCCTCTTGGGCATGGAGTTCACCAGAGCTTCACAGGATGCCACTGGAGTCCTCTTCCACTCCTCCATGACGACATCACAGGGATGGTGGATGTTAGAGAACTTGCACTCCTCCACCTTCCATTTGAGGATGTCCCACAGATGCTCAATAGGGTATATGTCTGGAGACATGCTTGGCCAGTCCATCACCTTTACCCTCAGCTACTTTAGCAAGGCAGTGGTCATCTTGGAGGTGTGTTTGGGGTTGTTATAATGTTGGAATACTGCCCTGCGGCCCAGTCTCTGAAGGTAGGGGATCATGCTCTGCTAGAGTATGTCACATTACATGCTGGCATTCATGGTTCCCTCAATGAACTGTAGCTCCCCAGTCCTGGCAACACTCATGCAGCCCCAGACCATGACACTCCTCCCTCCACCATGCTTGACTGTAGGCAAGACACACTTGTCTTTGTACTCACCTGGTTGCCGCCACACATGCTTGACACCATCTGAACCAAATACGTTTATCTTGGTCTCATCAAACCACAGGACATGGTTCCAGTAATCCATGTCCTTAGTCTGCTTGTCTTCAGCAAACTGTTTGCAGGCTTTCTTGTGCATCATCTTTAGAAGAAGCTTTCTTCTGGGATGACAGCCATGCAGACCAATTTTATGCAGTGTGCGGTGTATGGTCTGAGCACTGATAGGCTGACTCCCCACCCTTCAACCTTTGCAGCAATGCTGGCAGCACTCATACATCTATTTCCCAAAGACAACTCCTTTGGTCGACCATGGCGAGGCCTGTTCTGAGTAGAACCTGTCCTGTTAAACTGCTGTATGGTATTGGCCACCATGCTGCAGCTCAGTTTCAGGGTCTTGGCAATCTTTTTATTGCCTAGGCCATCTTTATGTAGAGCAACAATTCTTTTCATCAGATCCTCAGAGAGTTCTTTGCCATGAGGTGCCATGTTGAACTTCCAGTGACCAATATGAGAGAGTGAGAGCGATAACACCAAATTTAACACATCTGCTCCCCATTCACACCTGAGACCTTGTAACACTAACGAGCCACATGACACCTGGGAGGGAAAATGGTTAATTGGGCCCAATTTGTACATTTTCACTTAGGGGGTGTACTCACTTTTGTTGCCAGTGGTTTAGACATTAATGGCTGTGTGTTGAGTCAATTTGAGGGGACAGCAAATTACACACTGTTATACAAGCTGTAGGGGTGTACTCACTTCTGTGTAATATATATATCTATATATATATATATATATATATATATATATATATATATATATATATAAAAACACACTATAAATACCTTTGTTTTTCTATTTTATCACATGCTAGGAACGTCAGGTATTTCACATAAAGGAGGAAATATCAAGAGAACAGGATACCTTTTAATACAAGTACATGGTACAAAAGACACTTATCAGGAAAATGAAATGTTGGGGTAACAAACACTTTACGATTTCTATACAAAAAAATTATTTTACATACCCAGATTTCTCAGGTGGCAGACTCCCTGATGTTAAAACTCGTTCAAATAACACCCTTGTGTTGTTGTCCTCTGAAAAAAAAAAAAATACACCATACATTCAGCCAGGGATGTGCATCAATTGTTTCTTTGCTGTACTGTATGGCTGAGAGATGGGGACAGACTACAGGAGGATATGGGTGTATCTCTCACCATAAACAAGGGACAGTAAGAGAAAGGCCTGTGCCTGCTCACATCACTAGAACATTGAGACTTAACACAAACTTGTTCCTGACTACACAATGCTACTTATGTCAGGTGCAATGATGGTTGTCTGGTCACACAGAAACCAAAATGCTTGAATGTTTAGTTCTGTGAGTGATAAACGGTGTGTCCGACAGTCCAGCTTCCAGAGACATCAGGGACATCAGCCAGGTATGGTATATGCATAGTTACATTGATCCAAGACGAAAATATATATATATATATATATATATATATATATAAATAATATCCATACCGGGAATTCCTCTTTAAGATCTGATTGGTTAAACCCCAAAATTTCAAATGCAACAATTTAGAAGCTGCATACAAGGTTTACTGTAGTAGACCATTTTTGGTAGGTAAATATGTAGCAATTGTACGTACAGAGATTGACGCGGTCATCCATCTTGCTAAAGATCCCCCATCTTGTATCATTCTATCTCCCTCCAATCCCCCTCCCTCAGGAATGTGGTCTGTGTGTATGCGGAGAACTTAGACATCAGGCACAGCGGGATAGCTCCATGGTTATAAACCCCAATTAGCCTGGGCCCAGTATGTCTGTGAGACTCTTGCTTGAAGCTAATTGTAAAGCCATAAACCCCATCAGTCACTGGACTTCAAAAGACATTCCTAGATAGCCGTAAAACCGACAGCATATTTAAAACCCACTTTTCCTTATAATTTCATATCTGAAGATAGGAAATAATTACAATCAAGACAAGCATATATTTGGATAGCTCAGTTTAATGCGAGTCGCCTGGTATCTTACACCCCTAGTTGAAGTCTACAGGAGAGCAGAAAGCCATATAGTTCTAGCTGGAATAGTGAGAGATGGCATATTTGATGTCTAGACGTTCAGGATATCATTCTGCACATTAATCTACTAGTGGCTAGGCTGCTACACGTACCTAGGGAAGGTTATTGACCATGGTATAACTGGGAGGGATTTGGTCATAGCCTGAGTTCCCCCGCCTAAACACCCCTCCCCAAATAAGTTGATTGGTTCTCTGCTGTAAGGAGACACCCTGCTGGGTTCCTAGAAAAAGGATGTTATGCTTGGAGCGTTAAGATGAAGAGATCTCTCTTTTAACACCAGGAACCAACTTTGGGAGAAAAGGCACCCTTTTGCTCAGGACCCTTGAAGCTGCTTAAACCAAGGCTGATAGCAAGTATTCTACCTCTCTAAACTTCTGTTATCTCTCTGTTGTGTTATCGCGCTCTGTATTTATATATATATATTGGCTACATCTTTTTCTGTAAATATTTTTATTGCACCATTTTGACCTTTTTAGTAATAAATCCTATTTTCTGAAAAGTGTTGAACTGTTTCTAAAGCTCATTAATGCAAACTAAGAATCCTGGTCTCTGAAGAGTGCTACTGTGTGTTTTTAAATCTCTATATACATCTGCCTGCGGTGACAGTGTGTATACAGAAGATTATTCAAACATCATAGTGTTATTGCTAATAGTGGCGAGTTTCCTCCTTTTCTCTACAAAAAGGCAGTGGTGGCAGTGTGAAGGGTTAATTGCGTAATTAACCTGACCCAGTAACAATCGCTCTCAGGCTGCAGGTACATAGATTGTGGTTCATTAGCTGGAAAATCTTTGTGCAGGGTGCAGCTGAGCGTGGCATTGTTATGCACGTGACAGCGCGATTTTAGATTGGCTAATCCTTCGGTCACGAGTTGGTGAGAAGGGCTGATGCCTCGACCGTCACAAAATATAAACAGGTCTATACATTAGACCAAAAAAACAGGAATGTCTGAAGAGGAAGCAAGGACAGAAGAATTTGGTGGCAACAAAGGGGAAGGTCAATCCAAATGAAAGAGTTGGGAGCTATGATATCAAATCTATAAAAAAATTACCATTGAGGTGAGATAAATAATCAATATATGCAAGAACATATTCTGGGATGTCTCCATATTTCTTCAATCCTAACTCAAATATCTTGAAGGCCACAGATGTGTCCTATAAAAGAAAGGGTTGTTGTTAGATTTTCTGAACACAGTCTAAAGGTGTGAGCAGGTTGTAACTATGTAATATTTGCAAGAGTCAGCTCCTTGCACTGAGCTCGCACAACCACAGCATGCTACCTGAAGAAAGCTTTTGCTTCATTTTGATATAGTATCAATAAAAGGCTAAATCTGCCAGAATAAAGATATACAGCTTAAACACATTGGCAAAAACTTAATTTTTAGTACTGACCTACAACCTGCTATTCTGCTTTTCACAGTAAGGGAAAATACAATCTTTTTTTTTTCTCTTCCAAACTCAGTACTCATATTCTAAACTCCATAGTCACAATGTGTTATGCACATTTATTTGGGCATCACAAATTAATGTATATGATACCAAGTCATAGGATAATTCTCCTTTTTCCCACATTATTATTATAGTATAAGAAATGCTAGGTGAAGTCCAAGATCTATTGTGATTAAACATAAGTAAACTGGGCAGAGCTCTGAGAGACTATAGCAAGAAACGGACTACCTTTTCAAAACAACACTCTAAGGGACTCACAAAATTGGACATGGTGCCTAGATTCCTTTAGCCCTCAACATTACAAATATATTTTCTTCTAAACCTAAAGACATCAGTTTACAAAACTGTAACACAAAATTAATACACGTGACTGTAATTTTTTAAATTGCTCAGCTGAAAATATCTGTCACTTTTTCCTAATACATATCCTGATCCTGGTGTGTTAGATTTGTGAATTTAATCTGTTACGTTTTATTTCTAGGTTTTCCATAGAAATGATAAGACACAGTACCCGGAATCTTCTCACCTTACTACAGTAATACTCCATTAAGGCTGCTGTGACGTATACATGATGGCGGGTCCGAATATCTTCTCTGGCTTTTTTGAAGATCATTCGCCCAGCTTTGATGCCCTCTGCCCGCCTTGCAAACTTCATGTATTGAATATAAACCTGAGGAAACATATCTGACAATTAGAATTCTGAAAATATACTGACATTACACAGATTAAATGTTTTTTTAACCACTTGCCTACTGGGCACTTTTACCCCCTTCATGCCCAGGCCAATTTTCAGCTTTCAGTGCTGTTGCACTTAGACAATTGTGCAGTCACTGTAACCATATGACATTTTTTACATTTTTATTCATATAAATAGAGCTTTCTTTTGGTGGTATTTAATCGCCCCTGGGTTTTTATTTTTTGCACTATAAAATAAAAAAAGAAAAAAAATTTGAAAAAAAAAAAGTTTTTCTTTGTTTCTATTATAAAATTTTATAAATAGGTAATTTTTCTTCTTCATTGATGTGTGTTGATGAGACTGCACAGATAGGCATCACTAATGGGCACTGATGAGGTGGCAAGGATAGGCAGCACTGATGAAGTGGCACTGGTGGGCATTGATGAGGAGGCACTGATGATGCTGCACTGGTATGCAGCAATGATGGGCACTGACAGGCAGCACTGACTGGCGGAATTGCGGGGCGACACACTGCTGGGTGCAACTGCTGGGCAGCACTGATGGATGGCAGTGCTAGGCACTGGTGGGTGGCAGTACTCGGCACTGATGAGCACTGATCAGTGCCCTGATTATCAGTGCGAATGTCCTCTGTGACATTTGCCAGTTATCGGCAGTACTATCCTCACGCTGTGACAGTGTGCGGAAAGTGCTGCCGATAACCGGCAACTGTATTTACTTTGTGATCTGTTGTGTCATTGGACACAGCTAATCACGTAGTAAAAGGCTGCTGTGATTGGCCTTTTACCTAGTCATGTGGTCAGCTGTGAACATAGGACGCAGCGATCGCCGATAGCGCTGGGTGCGCGTCTCTGTGGGCGCGTTCTGGGAGGACCTCACAGGACGCCCTCCCAGAACTGGACAACCGTGCTGCTGTCGTCATTCGGCTATAACGCGGTTGTAAAGTGGTTAATATATCTCTTTTTTTACAACTTTCTTATAACCTATCCCAGTCACAAATGGCAATGCTAAAAGAGAGCACCGACATCTACTTTGGCCAAGAACTGCAAATGTAGATAGTTTATAGATCAAAACAAAGGTTTTGTCATTTTATAAACCAAGTAAATGTGTTTTATTGGGAATTTATATGATAAGACCAATACAAAGTGGCACATAATTGTGAAGTTCAAGGAAACTGATAAATGGTTTTCAATTTGTTTTTTACAAATAAATATCTGAAGAGTGCGGCGTGCATTTGTATTCAGCCGCCTTTCTCTGATACTCCTAACTAAAATCTTGTGGAACTACTTGCTTCAGAAGTCACCTAATTAGTAAATAGAGTCCTCCTGTGTGTAATTTAATCTCAGTATAAATACAGCTGTTCTGTGAAGCCCTCAGAGGTTTGTTAGAGAACATTAGTGAACAAACAGCATCATGAAGGCCAAGGAACACACCAGACAGGTCAGGGAAAAAGTTGTGGAGAAGTTTAAAGCAGGGTTAGGTTATAAAAAAAATATCCCAAGCTTTGAACGTCTCACAGAGCACTGTTCAATCCATCATCTGAAAATGGAAAGAGTATGGCACAACTGCAAACCTACCAAGCCATGGCCGTCCACCTAAACTGACAGGCCGGGCAAGGAGAGTATAAATCAGAGAAGCAGCCAAGAAGCCCATGGTAACTCTGGAGGAGCTGCGAGAAGCCATGTGGGGGACACGGCAAACATGTGGAAGAAGGTGCTCTGGTCAGATGACACTAAACTGAACTTTTTGGCAAAACACCATGTGTGGAAAAAACGAACAGTGCACATCACCCTGAACACACCATCCCCACCGTGAAACATGGTGGTGGCAGCATCATGTTGTGGGGATGCTTTTCCTCAGCAGGGACAGGGAAGCTGGTCAGAGTTGAAGGGAAAATAGATGAAGCCAAATACAGGGCAATCTTAGAAGAAAACCTGTTGGAGTCTGTAAAAAACTTGAGATTGGGGCTGAGGTTCACCTTTCAGCAGGACAACGACCCTAAACATACAGCCAGAGCTACAATAGAATGACTTAGAATTAGATCAAAGAATATTCATGTATTAGAATGGCCCAGTCAAAGTCCAGACCTAAATCCATTTGAGAATCTGTGGCAAGATTTGAAAATTGCTGTTGACAGACGCTCTCCATTCAATCTGACAGAGCTTGACCTATTTTGCAAAGAAGAATGGGCAAAAAGTTCACTCTCTTGATGTGCAAAGCTGGTAGAGACATCCCCAAAAGACTTGCTGCTGTAATTGCAGTGAAAGGTGGTTCTACAAAGTATTGACTCAGGGGGGCTGAATACAAATGCACGCCACGCTTTTCCGATATTTATTTGTAAAACATTTATGAAAACTATTTATTGTTTTCCTTCCACTTCACAATTATGTGCCACTTCGTGATGGTCTATCACATACAATCCCAATAAAATACATTTACATTTTTGGTTATAACATGACAAAATGTGGAAATTTTCAAGGGGTATAAATACTTTTTCAAGGCACTGTACATGTGAACCAAGGCTAAGAGAGAAGGTACTCTATCCAAAACTTGAATGGAGTTACACTTTATTAAAACATAAAAGGTTCCTGCTTAAGTCAGTTATAGATTTTCAAAATGAGCACACTACTGCTTAAAATAAGTAACTTTATGAATTTAATAAATGTAATGATAAGGTCATTATTAGAGGCATGTAAGCAACAGTAGCATATGTCTGACAGAGCTATTTTGCAAATAAGAATGGGCAAAAAATTCACCCTCTTCATTAGCAAAGCTGTTAGAGGCGTCCCCAAAAGACTTGCTGCTGTAATTGCAGCGAAAGGTGGTTCTACAAAGTATTGACTCGGGGGGGCTGAATACAAATGCACGACACACTTTTCAGACATTTATTTGTAAAAAAATGTTGAAAACCATTTATCATTTTCTCTCCACTTCACAATTATGTGCCACTTTGTGTTGGTCTATCACATAAAATCTCAACAAAATACATTTACGTTTTTGGTTGTAACCTGACAATGAGGAAAATTTCAAGGGGTACGAATACTTTTTCAAGGCACTGTACATGTATTACTCTTACATAGGGGGTGACTCAGTATAAAATTAGAGTCGCTGAATATAGAAAACACTTAACCTTTCCTAAGGTCATTATGTCACGAAGGCTGTAATGGCGAGGATGTTCCTTAAACTAATGGATAAGCGTACAACAATTAACTATATGTTGTAGCAGGGTGTCCTCTTGTGCCCATCTGACATGTCAGAAGAGACCCATGAAAGAAAAGTATTGTATGACAATCTACTTCAGTAGTGCTGGTTGTGCCCCATGTAGAAAAAAGTTGTGTTGGAACCACGCAGTTACACTAATTTTTGTACAAAGTATTTATTAAAGCTGTACTTCAACAAAAACTGTGAAAAACAAAAGCTAAAATGTCAAAACTATTCAGACAAGCATTACAATTTAAATAAATATCTTGTTTTTATTTTTAAATATGAAAAGTTTTTCATGTCAACATACCTCCCGTGCTTGTGATGAGAAAGTAGCTATTATGTATCCCAGTAACTAACAACACTGAAAACAATGGGTATGATTTTAGTGACACTGTGTTCACTTCAATCATATGCAAGAATAGATCCTGGTTTTCCATTGCAACTGGTTGGATAAACAAAGTGAATACAGCTTTGACTGATTTACTAACCTCAGTAAACATTCACTTTGCTAAGTGAACAGTTTCAAGTTATTAGTTATTCAACCCCACAGTGTCTGTGGCCATCTCTCCCACTACATCAGACCCAATGACAGCACAGCTAGAAATAAACTTCAAGCCACTGAAGCTGATTATCTGGTTCTCACTTATTCCCAAGTGACATGAGAAGTGGCTGCATACAAGAACAAAAACAATGAGGTCATGCTTTGGTAATAAGGTGCATGGGACCACTCTAAAATCTTAATTTCTTTCATAGAAGGGGTTGATGTTTTTCTGTGGAGAGATTGTGTATTTTCACTATTTTTTATTTATTTAGTGGAGTTTTCATTTAGTGTAATTAAACAGAGAAAATATATGGTTAACAAAAAAAAAAAAACTACTTACCAAGGTGGGATCAATATCGTCTATTTCAAGAAGTCTTTTATATATACTGTGAGTCCTATCATACTTCATACGACTCTGCAATGCACATAATGATGAAATACATAAGACATCTGGACTACACAACAGGACACAGACACTAATGCAAGGCCAAAATTAAAGGTCATAAACCCCAACCTCACTTTTGCTAATGCTGTATGATTTCCTGCAGTGCACAGCTGTGTACTGATACACAAAGACACAGAGTACAACAAAAATAGAATTTTTTTTTTTACTATTAACTGTAGGTTTTCCCATCCCATCCCCACCACTCCACGGTATTTCTGCATACTGGTTGGTATGCAGGCAACTTGAGCAGTTTCCGTCAATGAAAATCATTCTACATGACTTATCTCTGCTAGAGTATTAAGTTGGAAAATCTCCTTTAATTTAAGGCCTACCTCTTCATAGTCGGCATAGGCAAAGTATAACAGCATATTCTTCTTTAGCAAGGTGCTAATTGCACGTTCATAAATACTGGCAGCTTCATCACTGAACAGTTTGGCGTTGTTCATATCCTGTTATGAAAGTAAAAAAATAATTTAAAAAATAGGTACACTTCAATATCATCTTACAGTCTAAGTTAAGCGCAACATATAGAAGGACATACCCCTTTCTCAGCCAGCAGCTTACTGGACTGTTCAAGATACTGTGCAGCTTCATACCATATGTCTGGATGATGCCCCAACACCAGCAGGCACTGCTCATAGGCAAACATGACTGAAAGAGAACACGTTGATATTCAGCAGAAATGTCACAATGGCTCACAAAAGACTGCTAGGCAATAAAATGGACTGAATGATAATATTCTTTTTAAAAATGTGTTACAAATACACATCCATACAGTTCAAATACAGTTCAAGTGAATGTTTTTATTTTATAAAGGGTGGTATAGTTCAAAATTCTGCCATAAAAGGGGAAAAAAACATATGTAAACAATACACATGAGAAGGACAAAGCAGCAGTTTGGACAAAACATTAATTCGTGTTAAAAGGTACACTACTTAAACCAGGAGTCCTCAAACTGCGGCCCGCCGAGGACATTTATCCAGCCCGCCGGGCAGGGGCGTATCTGCCTCGAGGCAAGGGACTAGGGTTTGGCAGATCGCGATCTAAAATCATCGGGAGGGCAGCCGCCGAGCAGAGGCGTGCAGTGTCCTGTCTCTCCGCCCTCTCCTCTCCGAGCTGCGGAAGTTTCATGTGTGTGTATGGGGCCCGGAGAGCACCGCTCCTTTGTGTGCGATGATCGGATCAGGTAGGATGGGGATGTCTGGGGATTTACAGCGGGATTTACACCTGGGGTGACACGTTGTCTGCCAACCTGACTTAAACAGTGCATGGGTGGAAACTTTTTGGAGGAAGTGCTGGATGTCCATGGCAAGCAGATCATATAAGTGTCCTGGACGGAGCAACAATATTGTCAGTGACCTCATGGCGGTTTATGCTGGGAAAAAGGGATGCACTGATACTGTTTTTTTTATTGGCGAGTACATGTACTGATACTTTCAGTCAAGTATTCGGCGATACTGAGTACCGATACTTTGCGATGCGATTTGCGTCAATGGATGTAAATTGCACCGCAAAGAAAAGCATGCGATTTGAACAGGAATACGAATCCTGTCCAAATTGCATATGGTTTCCCCACTGCCCGCTGCAAGAAGTGGAAAGAAAGCGCTGGGGAATTTAAACCTCCTCCACTTTCTCTCCCCTCCTACCACTGACACTCAGCATAGGATGCCTGCAGGGAGGTTTCCCGCACTGCTCCTGTGTGAACTCAGGCTATGACAAACCTGGATTCACACAGAAGTGGGGAAACCGCATGCGATTTGGAAAAGAATCACATTCCTGTTCAAATCACATGCTAATCTTTGCGGTGCAATTTGCATCCATTAACGCAAATTGCACCGCAAAGTATCAGTTAAGATATCGTGAGTACTTTCACGAGTACAAGATACCGGTATCGGTGCATCCCTACTGGAAAGAAATAACTGATCTCTCCAAAAAATGTTTTGGTGAAAGAAAGGTTTTACCTTGTAAGTTGGCTTGTGATACTGTGCCAGATTAGACAGTAGCGTTCAGTGTTGAGGCAGAAGTTTGGACGGGATAGTAAAAGCCCAGGTTTCTCCTGTTTAAGTAGTGTATCTTTAACACTGATTAGTGTTTCGTCTGTACTGTTACTTAGTGCTCCTCATATCATACCGTTTAGCAGGTGCTGGAAAGCAATATGTCACATACTGTGTTTTTTAGCAATAAAATTCTGTCATGTTTGTATTGCTGTGTGGGATTTTATCTCCCTTTCTGTCCCTGTAACACCAGGACAAGTACAGGAAACCCAGGGCTGTAGTGATGGGTTATACATGCAAGCTAACTTTAGGTGAATCGACACTGGCAAGGAACTTTACTAGGATCGCACCTAATGCACGCTCATATAACCAAACCCACTCTGTGAGGCTCCAGATATTTTGCAAGCAATAGGGGAATGGGGAAGTTTTTCCCCATGGAAACACTGAAGAAGCAGACTTGATGCAATACATATGTCAAATATGACTGACAAAAAAAACATGTAAAAAATACAAATGAGATGCATAAAGCAGCAGTTTAGACAAAACATTAATTCATGTTAAAAGGTACACTACTTAAATAAGAACAGACGTTTGTCATCATTTCTGAATAGATGCAGAGTGATCCTTACAACCACTTTATATACCATTTCTTGTACAGTAACATACCTCTTTTTGTTATGAGGGTCTGGTCTTCTGTCCGAAGAGGATTACTTTTCTCCCACTGTATGTATTTTTTCCACATCTCTACCTGTTGAGCTTCCTGTGGAGTATTCTGTGGGGGCACGGAGGGAGCGTTGCGATCCAAGCCTTTCATTACTGTCTCATATTCCTTTTTAGAAAAAAAAAAAAAATCAAAAAAATAAAACTATACTACTCAGTTTCCTAGATCCTAAATGTTAAACACTATCCATAGAAATACTCTGAAACATTATATAGTGATCAGACATCATAAGATCTTTCAAATCTCTTAAAATAACTCTGTTCCCATTTTTAAAAAAAAAAAAAAAAAACACAAAAAAGGTGCCTGTAAAGAAAAGAGTTACTATTTAACCCCCACCCACCTGTGCCTCCATTTACCACTGTCTTGATGAGCTACACTGGCTGAAATATCTTAACCATTTGATACACTTTCGAGTGTGTCAGATGTCTGGCCACATCTGTGCTCTGTGGTTCCTTTCTCCAGCCCCTACATTACCATTGGGTGCTGTAGCAACAAAGAGGCCTGAGGAAGCAACCACAGAACAAATGAGGAATCAAGCAAACTATACTCCTGGAACTGTCAGATGCTGAAGATTTTTCAGACAAGACAGATTGCCAGTAGAAGGGGTAAGTACTACCCTCTCCTTTGCAGACAAGTCTTGGATTTTTATTAAAAATAATGACAGAATCGCTATAACCCACACAAACCCAACTCTGTAACCAGACTAGCAATGCAAGTACACATCTAGAAGGTTTCATATGGCAGATAACCCAGGCATAACATCTGACAGGACAAAACCCCCTTTATCAAATGCATATCTACACACACTGGGTAGGTACCTCTATAGCTCTGCCTTATTTTCCCCATGGAAACACTGAAGAAGCAGACTTGATGTAATACATATGTCAAATATGACTGACAGGTCTGGACTCACCTTAGCCACTCTCCTGGCATTCATATAATCTCTACTCCGATCTTCTATCATTTTCTTTGCAAGGTGGACATTAATACCCTGAAGACGGCATGAAGAGTGTTAATCAGGTGTACAACATCTCAAACAGACAAACACTATCCTGAGATGTAGCTACGCAGCTTACCTCTTCGTACTTGTTATAATCTCTCCAGAGTTGTTCTATATTAATCATAGGATTGACACAACCTCGCTGGTAGACCCTGCGTACAGCTGTGATTCTTTGGTTTTCTGCATAGGACCCCACAGCTTCCCTGATTGGTAAGAAAGCAAACACCTTACTATGTATTGAAAAATATCAACTCAACATTTATATTCAGACTGATCCAACAAGCCAAATAATGGCTCTATGCATGTGGGAGGCAGACAAAGAAGAAACAGGATTTCATCAAAGCTTCAGAAACCTGAGCAAATATAAGTAAAACTTGAATTAATCACATATTCAATGGTACATAAACTTTTTTTCTATTGAAAAAACTGGCAGGTTTTTTTTTTTTTTTTGTAAAGGAAATACAGTGGCAGCAATTTCAGCACAAAGACTTTCTACACCTACCATTCACATTAAACCTTATAATTACATTTATGTTATCATCACAATATATTATCACGATACACTATATGGGCTAAAGTTTGCGGACACCTATCACTCCTATAATAGCTTTTTTTTCAACATCCCATTACAAAAAAATGGGCATTAATATGTAGTTGTCCCCGCATCTCATCTATAACAGCCTCCACTTTACTGGGAAGGCATTCCACAAAATGATGGAGGGTGTCTGTAGGAATGTTTGCCCATTCAACCAAATGAGCATTTGTGAGGACAGGTAATGATGTTGCAGTTGAAGACCTGGTTCACCATCAGCATTCCATTTCATCCCAAAGGTTTACCAGGTTTGAGGCTAGAGTCTGTGCAGGCCGCTCAATTTCCTTCACACCATCCAATCATGCCTTTATGGAGCTGGCTTTGTGCACAAGGGCACAGTCATGCTGGAACATCCCCAGGAATGTCCCCAAACTGTTGGAAGCTCAGCCTTGCCTAAATTATCTTTATACTGTATGCTGTAGCATTAACAGTACCCTGCACTGGAAACACCCAAACTCAATCATTTGGAGGGTGTCCACATACCTTTAGCTACGTAATGTGTTTTCTTTTCTGACTTATCTTAAGAATACTAGCAAAAAGGTAATTTCACCAGTCTCCAGAGTTTCACTTTAAAGCAGTACGGAAGTTGTTTGGTTAAGCATTTTTATTTTATTGGTGGAGCCATTACTGCTACTAACATCAACAATTACTGCATGAGTCTGTAGCAATTAATGCTGTGTAGAGACTTCTAAAAGCAAAGTGTGAAGACTATTTTGAGAATGTTCGTTCAAGGATCTATTAAGCTTAAAAATTATTGTTAGCATAAAAACTTACACTCCTTTCAAAAAATTGATGTAATCAACCCAGATCTGAAAATGAAAAAAAAAAAAAAAAAAAGCATTGTTAATATGCCCATTCTTAAGGTGAATATAGTACATGATAACAATGTTATTGTATGAAAAGTGATTATACCTGATATGACATTATTTCCATGCCAATTTTATCTAGAGCAAAGTCGTATGCTTGTGCCATTTTCTCCCTGCAGGGCAAAAGGTTTATGGAAATCATGAAAGACAGGAACCAAGAACACAACATGTCCTCTGACACAACAACAAAAACTGTTTTGTTTTTTTTCAAGATGTGCCTGTTAAAGGTTACTGCACTGTGTATGTCATCTCGACTTTTCCCACTGTCAAACAAGCCTGCTGCTGTCTACATATTATTACATGTCACTACAGCACTACAAGTACTGAATGTTCCAGGAGTCACAAAGAACATAAAGTACCAAAAGCCCTACTAATAGGAGTGTTAAAGGATATGTGTAACTTTTGCAAATTAACATTATTTTAAACAAAATACTAAATACCATGACATGCCTATTTTGCAGAAAACGACAGTTTGCAACTGCTCTGCTTCTCCATGCATCCTGTTTGTTTACATCACGAGTGTCAAACTGGTGGCCCGCCAGCTGTTGCCAAACTGCAAGTCCCGTGAGACATTGCAAGATTGACAGTTACAAGCATGACTCCCAAAGGCAGAGGCATGATGGGACTTGTAGTTTTGCAACAGCTGGAGGGCCGCCAGTGTGACACCCCTGGTTTACATACTATGGAGGATGTGCCTGCTCTAATTAATGGATGAAATCCAGTGAACTAGATATTACTCATTAGCAGCAGCAACTTTCTCCAGTTGGGAGTGATGTCTTAGGAAGTCAGCATGTAACACTATGGGATGATTAAAGGGCACGCAATTTAAACCAGCTTTTTCCACAAAGATTAAATTACATTTCATTTAGAATTATACATAAAAAAGCTGGCGGCATTAGGTTGCAAAGCCATTTGTCATTTTTACATATCTTACATAAAGCATTTCCTATTTTTAACACCCTCAAATTACAATTCCCCTCTTTAGTCTGAAGTCAGCACTGACAAAACAAATGTGCATAATATTGTTTAGGTGCAGTGGACACCATCTATATAAGATTCTGTGAAGCAGCTCTGGGCACTGTATCTGAATATTAGGTGAACCTGGGGCCAGTTTTATGAACATTAAAGCATTTAAATATTTTTAACAATGAGTAAATCAGTTTTTAAAACAAGCCCCCACTAAACTGTTTAGCTGAAATCACTGTGGAGTAATGAGTCAAAGATTACATCAGAAACTCTTAATGCCGTTGACATATATGCGGGTTGTGGTTTGAACCGCATCCAATTCGCATGACATGTGAAAAACATTGCTTCCTATGGTGTCTGTTCACATATGTCCAGTGCACTGGCGATGCGGATTCAGTGCGGTGTTAAAAAGAGTCCTGTCCCATTTCTGAGCAGTGCAGTCCGATTCAGGTGCGGATTCCATTTCTAAACCGCATATGTGTGAACAGGATATTCCTGGGAGCTAATCCTGTCCTGAACATGACATAAACCTGATGTAAACCTGTGAACAACTACTGTATCAATTAGCTGTGAAACTTGAGCTTCAATCCGCACCGCATGTGTGTGAATCAGCTCTTTAATGGGTTGCAGTCAGTTTAGAAACAGCCTATAGCACCTGTTTCTTGCTTACATCAGAACACTAGAAGGCTGTAAAGTCCCTGCCATAAGCTAATGCAAATACAGATACGTTGCCATTTTAATGCTTTCAGGATCACTTGCTTACAGTTCCTTCTGGTACAGAAGTAAATGAGGTCATGTTTTTTAAAATATGTTGCTGTTTTTTAAAAATAAGTAAATATTTAATTATCAATATACTGGCTTCACATTAAAAGGTTAGTTCACCTTCATAAAATAACTGCCTATGCAGGTAAGGGGTGTTGGAGACAAAAACTAACTGTGCCGCTCTGACTAAAGACAAATAATGCCCTTGCTATAGGTATATAGGCCATTTACATACAGTGTTACAAAATATATCGTGAGAGCAAAGAAAATTGTAAAAAAGCAGCTAGCAAAAGTAGCAAACCCTCCTATGCCACTGAAACATAAGCAAATATACAAAGGTGTAGCGCTAATATTGATCTCTGTGAACTAATATTTACATACAGTACACCATGAAGCCTGAGTAGAATACTCCCAGGATGTTGCTTACTGAGGCCTACTCAATACTGCTCACCTCCACAGTCACAGGAGTTTTTTTCCCCTAGTTCAAACCCCCTTACATGCTCTCTCTCCCATTAGGCAGTAGCTCAGCATTTGAGAGCAGACTCCTGTGATGGTGGAGGTGAGCAGTAATGACTAGGTCTTGCTTAGCAACGTCCTGGTTGTATTCCAGTCAGGCTTCATGAGGTATGTAGCCTTATAGCAAAGGCATTATTCAACTTTAGTCAGAGCTGCTCGGTTTGTTTCTATCTACAAACGCCCCGTTTTTACATAGCCAGTTTTTTGGAAAATGTGAACTAACCCTTTAATGCACACCTACTAATGCTAGGGTGCCATTGTCTAGCCTGTAGAGGTCTGTGTGCATCCTTCCATGGATATGCCTCCCCAGACCATCACTGATCCACCACCAAAAAGGTCATGCTGAATGACGTTACAGGCAGCATAATGTTCTCCTCGGCTTCTCCTGACCCTTTCACATCTGTCACATGTGCTCAGGGTGAACCTGCTCTCATCTGTGAAAAGCACAGGGCGCCAGTGGTGGACCTACCTATTCTGGTGTTCAATGGCAAATGCCAATCAAGCTCTATGGTGCCAGGCAGTGAGCACAAGGTCCACTAGAGGATGTCGGGCCCTCAGGCCACCTTCATGAAGTCTGTTTCTGATTGGTCAGAGACATTCACACCAGTGGCCTGCTGGAGGTAATTTTGTAGTCCTCTGGCAGTGCCCATCCTGTCCCTCCTTGCACAAAGGAGCAGATACCGGTCCTACCGATGGGTTAAGGACCTTCCACGGCCCTGTCCAGCTCTCCTAGAGTAACTGCCTGTCTCCTGAAATCTCCTCCATGCTCCTGAGACTGTGCTGGGAGATACAGAAAACCTGGCAATGGCATGTATTGATGTGCCATTCTGGAGGAGCTGGACCACCTGTGCAACCTCTGTAGGGTCCAGGTATCGCCTCATGCTACCAGTAGTGACACTGACCCTAGCCAAATGCAAAAAACTAGTGAAAAACAGTCAGAAAAGAGGAGTAGGGAAAAAAAATGTCAGTGGCCTCCACCTGTAATACCATTCCTGTTTTGGGGATCATCTCATTGTTGCCCATCTAATGCACCTGTTGTTAATTTCATTAACACCAAAACTGATTAACAACCCCCTCTGCTACTTAACTGACCAGATCAATATATCAGGAGTTTAATTGACTTGATGCTATACTTTCAGCAGTGTATTTTAGTAAATATAAACTGCTAAATACCTGTTCTCATCAGCAGCATGTAGCAGTCTTGTGACTCCTATTAATGTCTGGCCGATCACTGGTTAATCTTGTAGGAGTTTTCATTCTCTCCTGACTGTCCTATGAGGCTGCATGACCACTGACCCTCTGTCTGCACAGTGCTGATTGGCCCTGTGCTGATCACATGCACTCTCCCAAGAAAAAGAAAAAAAAACTCCCTAGTAATATACACCAAACTGAGCATGTGCAGTTTGCCCCCAAGGCTCTGTTCTATAAGCAGATGGATTGGGGACATTAGAAGAAGGGGAGGATCAGAGAAAACAGGATCAAACTACCTTTTTACACAATGTGGAGAATTAACCACTTAGATTCCACAGTGAGTATAACAAGCATGCTTTACTGCATATACAGACTGATTTTACTGTTGTGGGTTTAGTAACACTAACTTTTTTTACATGTGTGAGGTTACCATGCTAAGATAAATAATCTTATAGGCGTGTGTTGTTTTAAACACTTTGTATAGTTTTAATTATATATGTACTTTGGGGCACATATTTTCGTTACATATGCAAGCTCTGCTTCTTGCTTAGTAGTAACAAAAAATGTCACTATGATTAAAAACACAAAGCCTATTTGCAATCACCAACCACATGAACCACCAACAATGCTACTGGTAGTGGAAATGTCAACTTTGCTTAAGTTGGCCACAGATGGGTCAGTTTTTTTTTTCGATTAGACTGTTGGGCTGATCGAAAAACTGAACAGATTTCCCCCCTGTTCACACAAGAGAGGTGGACAGGGAAATCCTCCCCATTGTGTCATTGTATTCTGACAGCGAGGATTCTGCTGCCAGCAGAAGACACTGATCAGAGCTACAGCTAGAGCGTTGGTTGTTATAAATGGAAGCGGCCATAGATGGATCAAAATTCAGCTGGTCCCTGCTGATCGTCAATAAATCTATGGCAAGCTTTATATTTTAAGTGACATAACAGAGTTAGAGAGCAACCTTATTTCACCACAGCTGAGGAGGTCCTTTTTATTTTTACTGAAACTAATGTGATTTGGCATTGCAGATATGTTACTGTATATTAATTAATGTATAACGTTGATTTTTAACACCAGCTCCGCTGTAAATGTGCAGCTGCTATTAGTCATGTCTCCACTTTTCTTTGCTTCAGTTTTCATACTTTGGCCCCCTTTTTGGACTTACTTGTAACTTGGAAGCTTCCCTTTGGTCTCCCGAACATAGGACACATAACATTTCCATAGATCTATGTGTAAGACCTTCATGAGGCATCTTTGAAATAACTGTAGGTAAAATTCAACAGTTGGTAATCTACAGTAACATGATGGCCATTTGTGTTATTCAGTTTGTGTAACTAGGTAGCATATACAAAGTGTTGACAGGATTAAGCACAAATATTTGTGAGAGCTGTGTTGGAAAGCTAGCAACAGGCATAAAATAGTGGTCTTCAGTAACATGGTATTTGGAGTGAGGAGTGAGTGTGAGCACGCACGCACGCACACACACACAGGGGGTAAAATAAGTATTTAACACGTCACCATTCTTCTCAGTAAGTATATTTCTAAAGGTGCTATTGACATAAAATTTTCATCAGATGTTGGTAATAACCCATGTAATCCATAGATACAAAGAAACCAAAACAAATAAGTTCAGAAATTCAGTAATTAGAAAGCAATCCTGCCCCTTTGTCAGTGCAAGTTATTATCAGCTGGTTGAGTCTCAACTGATGGCCTATACAAAAGGTGTCTCATTATCATTATCACATGATGGGTAAAAGCAAAGAGCTCTCTCAAGACCTTCTCAACCTTATTGTTGCAAAACATTCTGATGGCATTGGTTACGCAGGATTTCTAAACTTCAGAATGTTCCAGTGAGCACTGTTGAGGCCATAATCCTCAAGTGTAAAGAACATTATTTCACCATAAACCAGCCACGACCAGGTGCTCCTTGCAAGAATTCTGACAGAGGAGAAAATAATTATCAAAAGAGTTGTCCACCAGCCAAGGACTACTTGTGGAGAGCTCTAGAAAGACCTAGAATTACCAGGTAAGATTGTTTCAAAGAAAGCACTCAACCACCATGGCCTGTATGCACGCTCACCACGCAAGACTCCAGTGCTGAAGAAAAAGCATGTAAAAGTGGGTTTAAAGTTTGCTGCACAACATTTAGACAAGCCTGTGAAATAATAGCAGAATATAGTCTGCTCAGATGAGACCAAAAGTTAACTCTTTGGATGCCATAATACACACTATGTTTGGAGGTCAGATGGCACTGCAAATCCCCCCAAAAACACCATACCAACAGTGAAGTTTGGAGGTGAGAACATCATGGTGTGGGGCTGTTTTTTAGCATATGGTACTGGTAAGCTTCATATCACTGAAGGAAGGATGAATGGAAAAATGTACCAAGACATTCTTGATAAAAATCTGCTGCCATCTAACAGGATGATGAAGATGAAACGAGGGTGGACATTCCAGCAAGACAATAATCCCAAACACAAAGCCAAGGAAACACTCAATTGGTTTCAAAGAAAGAAAATAAAGCTGCTAGAATGGCCCAGCAAATCACCTGACTTGAATCCAATAGAAAACTTATGGAAAGAACTAAAGATCAGAGTTTTATAGAAGAGGTCGACAGAACTTTCAAGATTTGAAGACTATGGAATAATGGGCCAAAATCACACCTGAGCAATGCATGCGACTAGTTTCTCCATACAGGAGGCATCTTGAAGCTGTCATTACCAACAAAAGATTTTGTATGAAGTACTAAATACATTTCAGATAGAGTATTCAATACTTTTTCCCTGTGTAATTCCATTTGATTACACACAACTTAATTTCTGAACTCATTTGTTTTGGTTTCTTTGAACGTATGGATTGCATAGGTTGTTAGCAAAATGTGGTGAAAATTTCATGTCAATAGCACAATGACGTGTTCAATACTTATTTTAGTGTGTGTGTGTGTGTGTGTGTGTGTGTAGATAACAGAGAGAGAGATATCTTTGCTGTTTTATTTCTTAAGTAGCATTAGTTAAACAGTATACACTTTCTATCCCTGGAGGTATCTTTCCATTATCTGGAACTTGGCACAAGGACTTTGTGAAAGCATAATTTTCTCAGTTGAGAAAGTTGATTGAAGTTATAGAACAATAAATAGCCTTATGTATTTTACTTTTCATAATTCCACAAAAACAAAAAAAAAATGAAATCAACAATTAGAAGAGGGGCTATATAATTTTTCAGAGAGTAGAATTAAGTGGATCTCTAACAAAAACATTTTAGTCTTCAAAGGAGGTTTTGTTGCTGTGTCTCCATTAAGCAGACTTTCTCTTTTTTTTTTTCCTAGAAGCAAGGTGTGAGGTGCTGGATCATGTATTGTGGTGTGGGTGTTTTAAGTAAAGAATTAAACCAAAAGGGAGTCATTCCCCTTAGGAAGCCCTCTAAGAGTTGGCTATCAGCTCAGAAAAAAATGTGGTGTGTGAGAAAGTGCCAGTAAGGGAATGTAAAAAGTCCAAATTTTATGTTGTTTAGAATCTTGTACCATAAAAAAGTAAACACATTTTGAGGTTTCAAAGGATCTCCTTTATCAGGGCTACAAACAACACAGAAAAATGTTTCCATGACAGAAAGTTATTATTTGAATACTGATGGCAATGTATTACTTGTTTATGGTAGCTCTGATGAAGGGGGCCCTTTGAACCCCAAAAATGCTGTGGCCTTTTATGGTACAAGATTCTAAATAAAATCAAATCTGGACTTTGTACGTTGTTTCTGGTGCCTTTCTTCCCACACACCAGACAATAAAAACCTGACAGGAATTCTTTTAGTCCAGGTTCACATGGATGCCGTGTAGGGAACCGCATGTGATTCAGGCAGGAATTGCAGCACATTCCTGTTCAAATCACAGGTGATTCTTTGTAGTGCATGCATCTTTTTTTGCCACACTGGGATTGGATCGCATGGGCGTGAACACCCATGGATTCAGCCAATCGCACTGCGTTTTGCAAACCATCTTTAAGGTGTTGTGCAGTGGTTCGCATGGAAACTGTGATGCAGTGCAGGAAAAGCACGGGAATTGCTCCTAATCCAGTACTGCATCAGTGTAAACTGGGACTTAGGGTCAATTCACATCAGAACACAGTAAACAGGTTGTAACACACTTCCCAGCACAAGAAAATAGGTACTGTTACAATTTTTTGCAGAACAATGGAGCATTCACTGCACACTGTGGTTCACTGCAGTGCACGAGTACGGTGTTCTGGACATGTGCTAGGATGCCATTAAAAACAAGAGGCATAGCAATGAACATGTGCATGATGTGTTAGTGCACCTTATCACAATGTGACAGTGTAAACAAGTTCTTCCATGTACAATAAAAAGAAAAAAAAATGTTTTGCTTGGACTTCCACTTCTACAAACCAATTAAGAAAAACATTTACATTATATTTATGGAGCTTTGTTAGCTATATAAACACAACAAAAAAATTGCTTCAGGATTATATGTCCAGCTATTTAGCATTGTCTGCAAGAGATTGTGATGAGAACCGTGGATCAAACTCACCTTTTCAACCTTGTCATAATTTTTAGCTTTAATCTGTGTACAAATTAAAAAGGGGAGAAAATAGTTAGTACAACATGGTTTTGTGTGATCTGAGAGAATAATCTGTTTAGCATCGCAATAGTGAATGTCTCCATCAGACTGATGTGTTTATTGTACCTTACAATAAGTATTACCATAAGACAGAGGTGTCCAACCTGCGACCCAAGATGGCTATGAATGTGGCCCAACACAAAATCATAAACTTACTTAAAAATGATTTTTTTTTTTTCTTTTTTTTAACATTTAAAAAAAAATGCATTTACGGTCAGGCTCCATTCACACTAGGGCTTTTCAAATTGTGGGTTGAATAGCTGCGATTCTCCCAGCGATTTAAAAACGTGCTGTAAAAGTGTGAGAACGCTTGATCGCGGATTCAGGTGCCATTTACCTGAAAAAGTAGGGTGTTTATGCCGCAGTGCATTTTTTTTTTGGCATGGCAATCGCACCGCGATTGTGCAAACAACAACCTGGGATGCACGACGGCAAAAAAGCGTGTCCCTCGATTATGTTTGCCTCATGAAACGTGCAGCAATTGCGGCAAAAACGCCCTGCATGGCACCTGAACATTCAATCACACGGTTTCACACATTTACAAATTGCGGCCATTCCACCCGTGATTTGAAAAGCCCTAGTTTGAATGGAGCCTTAGCAAACACATGCAGCAGAACCAAAAATTTACAGGGTCTCTTTACTGGACTTGTGAACAACTATTTTGCAAGGATGGAGCCCACGAAGGGCAAAATTAGAATCAAAATATCTATCTTAAAAATTCATTTAGAATTGCTACTGCATCCTTCGGCCCAGACAGATTCATGGGTGTCAAACTGGTGGCCCTCCAACTGTTGCAAAACTACAAGTCCCATCATACCTCTGGGAGTCAATCTTGCAGTGCCTCATGGGACTTGTAGTTTGGCTATGGATGGAGGGCTGCAAGTTTGACACCTGTGATAGTTTATCAAAAGCAGTGTCAAAGATTGCACTAGTTTTTATGTTGCCCTCTTTTACTTTTATAATAAAAAATATTACCAAAAAAATGAAGTTTTATTACTCATCTAGGTACAATATCTATTATCAATGATCATTAACTTGTGATCTGCCCAACATTTTCTGTTTATCAGCTTTCCTTATTGCTAGTGCATTTTATGTGTGGCCCAAGATAATTCCTCTTCTTCCAATGTGGCCCAGGAAAGTCAGGTTGGACACCTCAGCCATAAGAAGTGTTGTTGCTTCTTCTTAGTGCTCTTTTACTCCAAATGCAATTCCAAGCTGTTTGCTGTGCATTATAATGCATGGTACTTTAAGAGATCCCGTTGCCAGACCATTCCTTTTTAACAAAAATCTTCCTATAAGATTATACGTGCATTTAATGTATTTATTTTTTTGTGTGTAGACATCCAAAAGACTTTAGAAACTTCTGCTGGGTGGCACCAGCTTGGATATGATGTCACCAGCCCCAGAGTTGTCACCTCAAGTTACATGCTATAGAACTCTCCTTTGCTCCTGCCCAGCAGCTACATAAAAGGTTCAGTAGAGAGGTGAAGAGAGTGGCAGAGGAGCTAGGCCAGCACAGGCAGCAGCAAGGCACTATAAATTGGCTATTTTTTTTTGCAAGGATGGAGGGGGCTGTGGTAGGGCACTGACTCTTAGCCAAATTTTCTATCAAGACTAAAGAGAGAGTGCAAATAAATACAAAAAACAAAAATTAAGAAAGGAAAAACATTGCAGGTAAGCATTTAAAAATACTTGATTTTAAATGCTTACCTGCAATTTTTAAGCTGGTGACAGGGTCTCTTTAAAGAAATCCATGCATGTCAATATGCCCATTCTCAACATTGTGTAGTGTGTTTTAAATAATATCCTGCAGTTCTGAGTGATGTAATTTCCCTTTCAAGTCGGCTGGGGACCTACATAAATCACACTGCGTCTAAAAAGCACAGGACATGCAACACTGCATAACTTTTCAATGCATCTGATGTGAATGAGACTTGCATTTGTTAAGTGTTTTGTTTACCAATGCTTAATTAAAAATAAGTATTAGAGAGGTCATGTTAAAAAAAATATTGTGAATGGTATCCTGTTTATGCCTCCTGTTTTTCACTGCAGAATTTTGCAACTGTATGTGCGCCACTGCTGCATACCCATGACACAAAAAAAAAAAGGCATTCATCCTATTATAGCCTTCTATTAGTACATTTAAACTGTGCACTTTACTATTAGAATACTGTGAACTGCACTAGTACACTAATTATTTTACCACTCACAGATCTGAGATCGCAGCACATACAAACACCCATCCTTGCATAGCATATTCCAACTTAGTGCCCTGCAGCATAGATGTATTGAAGGGTACGGTATTTCTGCGATGGTATTTCTGCAATTGAATGAATTGGAACCACAACACCCATCATATTGAGCTGTACTGCGTGATCAAAACAATAGTGTTACCATTGGGTACTGCCATGAACAGGTGAGAACCCAGCTCTAGTCTTTTCATCCACCATACCAATCAATGCCAGAGACGGCCCTAAAATCATATGTAAGCAGTAATGTTTTGAAAGTATGTATTTTAGACAGATCCGCCTACTGATTTATTGTATCAGCGCTAATATAGCAGAGCCTCACTGTAATTTGCAAACCTAGGAGTATTTGCTTTAAAATAATTATTTTGTAAAACAAACCTGTGTGAAAATCTTGACAAGGAATATGCTATTCACTGCATCTAACATCACTGCATAGAATGGCAGCTTCACTTTGAGCAGTGTTTTTTTTTTTTCCCCCCAAGCTGTTTCAGTTTATGATACATTCCTATTTTATAGGCTGTAGGTGATTTACAAGCTGTAAGCCCTGGTTCACATATATGCGGGCCACGTTTTCTGCGGGCACGAGAGCCCATTCATTTGTGACACGCAGGGAAGAAGTCCCTACACCTCTTCTGAAACCGCAGCCACACTGGAACCTTAGTTCCCAGTACGGTTGCGTTTTCCAGTGCCGGCGGCGTACCATTAGAACTAATGGCACCCGCCCACGGGTCCGCATTCCTCTGTAGAGGTGGTGTGGCTGCACAGAATTTCGTGCGGATCCGCAGCAGTACCACCCGCACAGATGTGAACCTAGCCTTAATCCAGTTTTTATATTTTAAGAGCAGTCTGTGGAACCATGCAACATTCAACAGGGTGTAATTTCAGATGATGGCAGATGCATGAGCATGTTTTACTATGACAAAGTGATTACATTACAACCATTTTTAAACTAGCAAGAAAATTAGCTGCAAAATTTTACCAACGAGGAGCCATCCTGCAATGATAGCATCCTAGAATTCTGGTTTCAAATAGTGTGAATTTGCTGTGTCTGCATCCATTTCCATAGGCTGCCTGCATGCAGCTTGGGAAGGATGAGGAGGCCAAAACAAAGGAGGCCTGCACACAGTACAGGGGCTGGTATCTGAATGAAGTAATATTATTAAATATGCATGATCAGTCCCCTTTTGGGTGGCCCCCACCATGTATAGTAAGGGTCTTCTGCTTCTTTTCCTTGCTAGCTCTGGGATTGAGAACCAGTCACCCAAACCCTTTCATGAAGGGACCCTAGACTTCCTGGATGTGTGTCTGTCTCAGACCTTCGCAAATCAGTCAGCATTTGGCTGTCCAGGATTACATGCGCTAGGGTTGCATATACAAAGCAAACCTGACAAAGAGTTTGCTAAATGAAAGGCATCCTGATTTGCATTGCTGCTTTGCTTGATAACTGTCCCCCCCCCAAGCTTGATTTCTGAAACTTTTTACAATAGTAAAGCCCACACTGGACTATAAGGCTAGCCATACACAGTTAGATTTCTATTGTTCAGCTCCGCAGGATAAATAGGAGAAATTAATTGATTCCCCTATCAACACTAAACAGCATGGATAGATGAATCTCTTCTTCCAGTTACTATATTTAAGCAGCCAAGACACCCATGGCGGCCTAAATACCCCACCAGTGACTGCATCTTATAAGATGCAATTAGGGACTGTTCACACCGGAACGGTGTGAAAGGTGCTTTTCCCACACTGCATGTAAACATGCTGCGCTATCTTGGGTAAAGGCTTGCATCTTCCAGTGACTGCACACTGGTAAGCTTCTGAGCTCACATCTCCTTAGGGCACCATCCTTATAGACCTACCCCACACCATGAGTCCTGTTTTGTAGCAAGCAATGCAGAGTAACAAGGAGAATTACGAGAGGCTGGCCTGTGTTGTTCTGTACTGTACTCCAAGATATGGAATTTATAGATAAGTCAAAATTCTTCTTACCTTAAATCATATAGTACAGGGCACTGGCAACTTAATCATACATCACTGGATCTCCCCAAGCAATGAATATAACAGCTAGGCAAATGGAACTGTGTTAACAGGCCCAAGAAAACAACATGAGTTAAAGACCTAATTTCAGGGTGCCACTTTGTGGCTGAAAGCTGAATCCACAGAAGATTGGACATCCACATGGTAAAACTTTGAGAAAGTATGACTAGAAGACCAGGTGGCTGCTCTACACAGTTGGGCAACAGTGGTTGGTGCCTTAAGGCCCAGGATATTCCAACAGATCTGGGTGCATAACCAGAGCTGCTTTTAGAAACCACAGGGCCCCCTCCCCCCTAAAAAAACAAACAAAAGTTTACTGTAATTCAGTTATGAACACAGTGAGCGATTGGTACTGATCACTCATTGGGTTCATTTAGAAAAGGAAGGGGCTATTAGCTGTGACATATTTTCCAGACCCTTCCCCCACTCTCCATCCTGAAGGATCCTATTGTGACGGGAGTGTAGGAAAGACGGCAGCACTGTGGAGGTGGGGGCAGCAGGGAGAAATGTATGGTGAACAGGTGGGTGATGGGCGCGGGGGGGGGGGGGGGCAATTACTGGAGCCAATTCCCTGTACGGCTCTCTGCGACAGCTGAAAGCCTGAGGGAAGGAGAGAAGAATAAGCCAACTTTCATCTGCTGCAGAGACCCATACAGGGGATCTGTTCCAGTAA